CGTCAAGCCGCTCGAGTGTCTCCGCCCGCCGAGCAAATTTCTTCACGCTCTCAAAGCGGGCCATGTCCAGGTCCCACACATCGAGTGTGCCAGAGAATCCAGTCTCTGCGACGATCTGTGCCCTCGCTGCCCGCCCTTTTTGAGATCGCGGACGCCGAGGATGAGATGCGCTGGATGCAGGCGCGCGAGGTGAACGGCAGCGGCGAAGCCGATTCCGGTATTGCTGCCTACAGCGTTGGCGGGTCAGCTCACAAACCTCAGAAATACAAGCCACGAGAACGAACCGGTGATGATGAATGTACCGCCCGTAAGATCGGAGCTGGGGACCGGAAGATTGGCAAATAAATGGTTGGATAGATCTCCACCAAAGGCAAATTGTATTGCTTGCTGTAGTACGGTAAATACTTGTCCCATTGGAGCGGTTCAAAAGAATGCCCAGTCACGCAGGGCGTGAAGTCTTTATGAGTCCAGATCAAAGATCTCTCAGATACACCGCAGGTGCCCCAGTCGAACGAGGAATGTTGGGCCGCTATGTACGTTGCTGCAACGGCCTAATGCGACACGGTGGCAGGACGAAAGCCGTAAAGTCACGCGTGACTCATCTGACACCGGTCCTCACCTTTCACCAAACGACCTTGCAAATGCGAATATTGACCTGGAACATTGTGGGTCCTCCCTCTCATGAACTCCATAGAACCTCATAAAGTCTATTCAGAATGGCATCCGGACGATCCCCCAATATCATCCGTGAGCCCTATTTTCGTCCGTCATTCATCGACGCACACCAACAAACTCAAGGTGGAACACGATGAAAACACACGATGATATCCTCAATCTGCTGCATGCCGACATAATTTGCTTTCAGGGTACGGGTTTACCCGCAGAACGCGTCGATATTGATAAAGCATAGAGATGAAGTCGTCGCGGCAAAATCTACCAAAAGCAGTCGGCGTGCCACCATCCTACCACTCGTTCTTTTCGTTTCCGCTGCAGAAGCACGGATACTCCGGAGTCGCAGTATATGCGCGCGCTGACGCCGCCCTCCCGCGAAAAGCCGAAGAAGGATTGACCGGTCTGCTTCAGCCCAAACCACCTTTGTCCACTGCGGAGCGCGTTTCCGTTCGCGATGCATATCCGGACGAAATCATGGCAGAGGCCGCGTCTGACCTCGACTTCCGGGGCCTCGACAGCGAGGGTCGCGCGCTTGTGGTTGACTTTGGACTGTTCGTGCTCATTAACGTGTATTGCCCCAACGACGGTACAGAGACGGAGGAGCGGTTGCAGTACAAGATGGATTTCCATCGTATGCTTGAGGCACGAGTCAAGGGTCTCATCGAGGTCGAGAAGCGCGAGGTCATTGTCGTAGGCGACTTGAATGCGTGCGCGGCCGTGATAGATCATGCCGAAGGCAACTTAATGATCGCGCGGGGGCAGGCGGAAGGGATGGAAGGCGAGGGCGGATTCTGGGAGCGCGATGTGCGGCGCTGGCTCAGGAGCTGGTTGATTTCGGACGAACCTGGTAATACAGGCCGCCTGGTTGACGTTGTGCGGCAGTTCTGGCCTGAGCGAAAGGGCATGTATACTTGTGCGTCTATTCCCTTGGGATGTACTCTGCTTTCATGCGGTAACAATATGCATTCAGGTTGGAACACCAAGATTTCAGCGCGCGATTCAAACTACGGAACGCGCATCGATTACATTCTTGTTACGCCCGCGCTACTGCCCTGGATCAAGGCCGCCGATATCCAGCCCGAGATTAAGGGAAGCGACCACTGCCCAGTGTTTATCGATTTCCACGACCAGATTGTAGACGCGAATGGCGGCGTGGTGAAGCTACGAGAGGTTTTAGGGCCGATAACCGTTGGCGCTGAGCCACCACGCATTGCCGCCAAGTTCTGGGACGAATATAAGCAGAGGCTTTTGGACACGTTTTTCGGAAAAAAGACAGATCCCAAACCCAAAGCAACTCTTCCACCACCTCAGGCAGCGTCGTTGGATCCGCCCGCCCCGCCTGCCACTCTTGAATCCGAGCAAACAAGTATGCTCGGATCCACACCGATAGCAAGTTCAGTTTCATCTGTCAATGAGCTACTCGACGATCGGCACTCTTCTGGGAGCCAAGAACTGGACCCCACCCCGTCCTCGGCTTCGGTTGCTCCAGCGAAGCGGAACGAGAGGTCCAGGAGTCCGTGGTTTCGTCATCGAAAAAGCCGAAAACAGATAACCTGAAACCCAAAAAACCCGGACAAACGAGCCTTGCGTCTTTCTTTTCCAAATCCGACTCCTCGAAATCATCTGGAACGAAATCGACGACAAAAACAGCCTCTACGGCTGATCAACTAGACGCTGATTACAAGCTCGCGCTGTCACTATCGCAGGAATCCTCGCCTCCACGGGCGAGCGCCAGTCAGAGCAACGGCGAGAGTAAGAAAACGTGGTCAACGCTCCTGGCTCCCGTGCAACCCCGCTTTGCCAGGTTCACGGCGAGCCGACGAAAGAGCTCACCGTGAATAAGCCGGGCCGAACAAAGGGAAGAACTTTTTCATCTGCTCAAGGTAAAATCCTCGGACGAACCACGCCTCGCCCGCTGATCGCCCTTCATAGACCTGTGGGGCCTGGATACGATCGAGGCAAGGCAGAGCGTCTGAGGGAAGAAGTGGATCCAACGTGGAGGTGCGATTTCTTCAAATGGGCGAGCGACGTTAGGCTGGAGATGACGAGGAAGAGAAGTGCCGGCGGACTTGGGTAGGTTTCAGGTTCGCCTTGCTGCGCTGCTGCTTCGCTCATCGTTCCTATGTAACAGGTAATCATACTTAGCATTCGTGCTGTGCCTGCGTGTACAGAAGCCGTATCAGACGGATGTTAATGTACTACTATTGCCTTCTTGTCCCTCGTTTAAGCTCTGCGATCGCCGCGGTACGTACCAAAGCGGATCTTCTTTTGGCCTTGAACGCAGCTAACGGAGTCGGCACTCGGACCGATCTTCCCGCGCTTCGCAGTTAGTGTCGCGCCACAGGGCGACAATACACCAACCGAGTCTAGTCCACTGGTGTCCACCATCATATTCTAGTGACTATGTCGAATTCGGTATGTAGTTGTGATTTGAGGCGTAGTTGATTCTGAAGGAGAATTAATTAGATCTGCCCAAATTTTCACGGGGAAGAAGTCGATCCACGAGGAGGAGGGCTCTACCACAGAAGAGAAGACTCATAACCCGATATAGGATTGATACGTCCAATCTGCTTGGGTCCGGTAAACCATGATAAGGGGTGGTCCCTGTCCGTCAGCGTCAGCGATCACAAATGATCCACAAAAACTTATAAGAGAACTCTCGGCGAGCAAATCATCCTCTCCGACCACCGCGGCTTCTTCGCTTTTCGCTGCGATGCTAGAAGGCCTGCCTGTAGAGCTCATCTTACTCCTTCTCCGTGGTTCGTCCATCGCAGATATTTTGAACTTGTCAAGGGTGCGTAGATTCAGCATCGCGTTTCGTTTCCATTGACCGAAATTATGTTCAGACTTCGTCTTACTTCCGATCCATTTCTTTCTTGAACCGACGACTGTGGATCGATGCATCCGACCCGTATCGAATTCGTTTCCCACTAGGCGAGACGCTCAAAACCACCGACTTGTCTCGGCTCCCTCGTTACGCCGCGCGCAGTACGGCGATTCTGAATAAATACCGTCACCATCTTCATCACGATCTCGCCATCTCTCCGATTCGAACCTATGAAGCAACTCGGCTTTACGATCTCCCCGCGTGGAATTTCTGGTCGCCGGCGAAATATTCACAGCGGTCTTTTCTGGGCCACGTCCCGCCCACATTTATGAACGTTCTTCCGGCGGCCGTTCATTTCTACTGGGGTCCTTGGGTCATCTTGGGATATATGACCTCCGCGGCGAGTACGGATATGAGCTGAAGGTTCCGTTCTGCGCGCGTTTTGATCCACAGCCCCGAGATCTTGTCGCGGAAGTTGACTGGGACAGCGTCGATAACGGCGTGAACATAGTGCTTGCCATTATTTCCAAGGCATTTAATGAGCGGCGCGATCTCGAGAGGTACGGTTTTATTTTAGGCATCTGATGTCCTGCGTGCTGAACGTAGTTTGAACCAGTTATTTGAGCGTGTTCAAAATTAATTATGTGCACTCCGCCAAAGCACCGTCCGTTTGCCGCACCCACGTCTTGGAGCTGCCCATCGACGCCACTGTAGTCTCCATCGAGGGTGATCTCGTCTTGGTTCGCAACAGCGCCGACTTCCTGTTGTTCGACCTTGCGGCCCGTCGGCGCGGCTGGTGGCATCTTCGCGTATGGTTATACCATTTCGATTTGCCTGTTCTGCTAACATAGTTCTTATAGGACTCTGAAATCACCCACGCCAGTATTCTCACCGAACGAACGATGTCCCTGGCCGTCAAGTTTCATAAGACTGGCGTACACAGGGTGCAAACCATCAACATCTCTTCGGACATGGTGTCGTTCGCAGACGCGGGCAGCCCGTTTTGGACCGCATATCCGTTTACACCGCAGACGACCCACAACCTCTAACGCCGAACTTGCCCGCTAATTCGACGATGAAATCTCCCCACTGCAATAGGCCAATGCGTGGTCTAGAGACGATCCTCGCACCGCTTCGTTCCTCTTATCACACGATGCTGGCCGCCGTCGACATAGGCACCCTTACCGTACTGCGCACGGACAGCGATTGGGACGCTGGTGAAGTGCGAAAGTGGTTGACGTTGTCGTTTCCTGTGGAAGGCATGCCGGGCGTAGGTCGTACGGTGGTATTCGACGACGTCTACGGAATCGCGCTTGCTTTCGCGCGCGGGAGGCTGTTTGTTATGCAGTATTGAGATGCTTTCCTCATTGCAATGTTTTTATTCTGCTGGCTAGGCAGGTAGCATCTCATATGGGACTTTTTTTATTTTACTTAGTTTCGGATATCTGCATTGCAAAACAACCACCTTGCCCAAAAGAAAAAGAATGTATGACTAAATGCAAGGTCGTGCCCGGAATCGAACCGGGGTTGCCAGAACTCCAAGATGCCATCAGAATCTGGAGTGATAACCGCTACACTACACAACCAATAGGAAAGGCTCACCGATTAGGATCCAAGCTCAAGAGTGGCTAATGTCAAAATTTCAGGAGGTCAAGACCACCGCTCCGATTGTCGTACAACCAAAATTCTTTGTCAGCATGGAGTCCGGCTTGTAGAGGCATAGGGAATCAATTCAGGATACTGCAAAAAATAGCAAAGCCTTCAGCGTGAAGTTATTCTGAGACAGATTATTGAATTCCGTGGGAACACCCCAATGCCTAGTTTTTTTCAGGTTATTGCTGTTGAATTCATCCCTTGGAGTAGTCCATATCCAACATATTGGCTGCATCTGTACTTGGAACCGGCTGGTGCAGGGAATGGAACATAACATGTACAATTGCTCAAATGTGGCATCGGAATCCACTGGAAACTGATGTGATCCAGTGGACATCCTGCTGGCTGCTTGCCATTGGTCTCCAGTGGATGCCAGCAGCAAAGCCGCAAACGGTGCAGGCCACTGATCTCCACTGGAACTCGCTGGGCTGCGGCATTGGTTTCCGCCATCAGCCAGTGCTGAACAGTGCCGATCAGCCAAAGGACAGCTCCGCGTGTATTACTGCAGATCAGGTGGCGCAACGGCATTGGCGCTCAGATAGGGGTGCCTTGATGTTAAAACTTCAATGCCACAACATCCAGATGCTGAATGCTTAGAGCCTGGAATCTGTCTGGCAGAAGGGAAAATGTAATGATCACTAGACTGGAGCTGGTTTGTCTATGGAGCAAGCTGTTGATATTCAAAGAGGCCCTCTGGGCATCCCTGGGACTACAGATGAGGAAATCCTTACGTTGGCTTGCACTGGGTGTTCACAATCAACTTGAGAGCTATTGTTCAAATTAGACACAAAAATTGGCGGCCACAATTTTGTGGCCCCTTATGCTGTTCAGTATAAGTACAGAGCATTTCAAGTCAAACTGCACGATATTAAGCCACGTTCAAGGCCATTCTTGGATGGAAGTAGCTACAAGTGATACATCACCTATTTTGTTGGCTGATTTCACAGACTCAGTTTTCAGGACGTGCTTTATCATCAGGACTGTAGTAAAATGAATAGACACCACCACAGACAAGTTCTACTCCAAATAATAACACGACGCTGAAGAGGCATTAGAACAATCTTCTGGTTGAAACGAAAGTGATTTTGACCTCCCCCCTCCACTTTTGTACTAGGCAGGTTTTGGAGCAATCCCAAAAATACTTACTGCCTTGTGCAAGCCCCAATTTATCTTGGTAATGATTAAACAGGATTGCAGGCCAGCAAATATTGAGAGATGTACAGTACTTGCCATTTACAAACACGTCTGCCAAGTTGAAGTGCCAACAGAACCACGGCCCGAAGCCCTGCAGTCGGAAAAAATCCGATAAATCATGTTCAGTGCCAGGTAAAGGTTAGATGGGAGACTGGGCAATCTAGATATCTGAGACCAGTCCGCCAAATTTAGGAACAAGGCGGAGGGTAGGAGACATTCATTAGTTGGTTACATCATCAGCTGCTAGGGTTAGGTAAATTGATTGAATGTGTGCCAGCTGAGAAGCCCAGCAGCAGAGACATCACCGATGAGCGCGCAATCAGCAACTCCTCGGCACCGGTGAAGCACACTAGATAGCTCAGCATCGGACCAGCCGTCGTCCGAGTTGAGAGTGAGTACCCCAAGAGAATACCATCAAGCAACCATTGCTTGCGCACGTGTTGAGCTCAATGTACAGCACTTGCGAGAAAAAAGTCCGGCTTTGACTCAGCTGCTAAGATAGGCCGCATCCATATGCATCCAAGTGACGATCAGTGGCAGTGCCATGACTGATAAGATGAGATAAGGCAGTTTTCACATCAAACACTCAATTTCTCTGGAACAAAGGCGAGAATTAAAAATCCATCCCGTGAATTGATGTGAATTGGGTATAGCTAAACGATCCCAAATTTCCAGTCAAATCGGCTTTGAATTGATTGAGTTTAAACCTTTTTGGTCCAAATCTGCAATGAGAAATTGAGTTCGGTGGGGTTTTTTGGCTTGTAAGTTTTTTGGGAAGGGAATCCAGAGCAAAAAAAAAGTCAGAGCATTTATTTAGAACAGTATGTAGTAGTTGGGTACACCATATAGTGATTAGTACATGAATTCGTCCCAAAAGCCGTGTCAACACGATCAGCTGATCTTTACATACTTCCACCATCCTCATTCAAGTCGAATGGTCAAACGCAAGAAGCAGTATTCCGGACTCAATCAAAGATTCCTTTATTTCCATTCTACACTTGCTATTGTTTTCTGACCTGTTATAGCTCTGTACAGTCTCTCATGCTCACTCCGTTTATTTCAGCTGTCTTTGATATTTCATTATGTTCTCTGTATTTGATAGGATGCTTGTAGCCACCCAGTTGTGTACAATGTTTGTGTAGTATACATTTTTTGTCCTGTTAAACGAATATGAATGATTTGTGAGCCTTCTCGACCATGGAAAAAACTACAAGCCAAAAAACCGCACCGAACTCAATTTCTCATTGCAGATTTGGATCAAAAAGGTTTGAACTCGATCAATTCAAAGCCGATTCGGCTGGAAATTTGGGATTGTTTAGCTATACCCAATTCACATCGATTAAAGGGATTGATTTTTCATTTTCGCCTTCGTTCCAGAGAAATCGGGTGTTTGGTGTGAAAACCGCCTTATCTCATCTTATCAGTCACAGCACCGCCACTGATCGTCACTTGGATGCATATGGATGCGGCCTATCTTAGCAGAAGTGAACTGATTCAGGGAGCAGTAAAATAATCTGATTTTGGTCTGGACCAGACTCACAACTATCTGAACATGACGAGGTGCAAATGCCGAACAGCATTAAGGAAGAAGTCGGCCAATTTGGTGACTAGGGCACTGAGGACTGCATAATCTTGGGTGTCTCACACCGTAATGTAACGAGATGGTGTGGCACTAAAGGAAAGGTTAAACCCTTCCAGTGGGGTCAATGGCTGGCCAGAAAGATTGGAACTCAAGACAGGCTGCATGACATGCAAGAGTTTTGAATTTTGCTTGGTAGGTGTTGAATCAGAAGGTGTGTCATGGAGGAACGGAGGCGCAGCGAAACCCAGGTGACATGCGACATCTTGCTTTTTGCTTTCCTATGATGTGGACAACAAAACGGTCAGGTGAAGTGGAGAGATCCGAGGCTGGCGCAATGTGGCAGTTGAAGAAAAAAATTGTACCAAAAACTCAATTTGTCAGAGCTCGCGCAGGCACAGGTAAACCCAGTGGCAGTGGCGTGATCGGGGGAAGATCGAGAAAATGGGAAACTCGGTTTTTGGGCCTGCAGGTGAGAGGTGCGGAGAGTAACTGGGAGTTGGGATTGATGGCGAATGTATGGGCGATATACTGTCAAATAATTAGGTACTGGCTCCATGGTTTTTGAAAACATCTGCTAGGAAATTGGGTGACATCTTTTCTGATCTTGGCTGCATCTTTCTGACCTTGGTTGCATCTTTCATTATGGTCGCACCTTGACATTGGGTTACAACCATTTAAGTCCCATCAGCATTGCTTGTGTTTGGTATTGATCTGCGAATCCCCCCAGCTGTCTGCTGGGCTCGGCATCTCCACAACTGCTTCAATAGGGGTACACCAGGGCAGGTCAAGATTCTCTGTGTTCAGAAAAGCCTTCGGAGAAATATCTGTGGCATGCAGATGGAATCCCTTCTGAAATTCATGAACTTCCCATGTTTTGATGAATTAATTGCTATGAGTGCTATGAAGGATGTTGAGCTCGCTTTTGTGGAACACATAGTTTAAGATATTGTCCAGAATGTGCTCTAAGCACCAGGAATTCAATGTGATGCTCTCATGGTGAGAATTCATCCATTTCAACTTTCGGAACAATATGGCATCATTGTTTCAATCAATCCCATCATAAATTCAAAATTTCCTCCAGACAAAGTCATTCACATGTGAACCATCTGAAGTGTAGTCCATGTGAGCAGCGGACTGCATCCTGGATGGAAACATGCATCCACTTTCCAAGATGCGATCACTTTTGCACCTTTCTTCCCAGAAGCAACCAAAAACCCTGCAACCACAGTGATGTAACCCCTGATTAATTTTTGGACAGTATATGTGCCATACAAATGTAGCATGATCGGTAGCATTGATTGTAGCATTTTGCCAAACAAACACACCAATGCCATCAACGGGATCATTGGCAGTCTTCACGGTTTCAATGTCCTCTCCCTCACTGCTGCCACAGGACGGCGGCCTCCGTGGCCCGTCGCTCACATTCACGCGCCTCCTCTCCATTCTCAAGAATGACATAATTCTCTGTCAGCTGCACAATATCCCGACGGACGCTATTGCCCCGCCCTTGGATCACTTGATGGCAAGTTGCTGCTCGCAATATGGGCAGATATCGAGTCTAGGCATGGTCATTAACAGAAGTGGGAAGGGGGAGACACAGCGGGAGGTGGTGGTAAGAGGAAGAGGAGCGCGTTGCGTGTTGGTGTTTGGCTGTGACGCGTTGACAACTCCGCCAAAGTGTGCCGGATGTCAAGCCGAAGAGTGCCGGATGCCGATGTCATTGATCGTAGCATTGATCGTAGCAGAAACTATAGCAACTCCTTTTTGTGGAGGCGCGGCTATCACCGTATCGATCACATCAGGGGCAGTGGCGTGATTTGGGAAATCACTATGTCTGAAACCAGACCTGGGACTGGAACAGTCCCAGGAATTCTCGCATCCAACACAAGTTGCTCCAGACGGCGGCTTGGGAATCAGGTGCGTTGCTGCAATCTCAAGCCGGGTATCTTATCAAATATTTATTGTTCATGTTCTGCAGCCTTGCTTTTAGACTATCATCAATGTGATCTCCGAGCGTGTTCGAGGCAAAGCGGTCGTAGGGCCGCAGCCGCGGCACCTCCAACAGTTCATTTCATCTGCCGGTCGAATCGCGTTGGAACCAGCGCTTCTCCCGCCGCCAATAATACCCGCCTACCGACGATCTGTCACTCGAAGATG